TGAGCATGCGAGCGATGGCGATGCGTAAGAGCGAGGAATAGGCGGGGCGGTGGTGTCTTGGCAGGGGCTGCTACACGTGGCGGCTTGCATAACCGTGCGGGAGTGGCGCCAGTTAAGTTACGGTCACATAGAATAATGATGTGGTGAGGGGGATACCAGATGAGAACGGCGATTTCGCGATTAGGAGCACATAGCGCCTGCGGCGGTAAGGCGTCTACGGTTGCGATAAGATGGGAAGAAAATGGATTAAATGCAAATATGTCCGATTTAATGTTGCATGGATCAAATTGTGGTAGCGTTTTGATAGTCATAACACCCTCCACAACATAACACAAAAATTTAGTGCACTCAGAACCATTGCACGGGCTATTCGCGTAGCAGCTGAGCGTGACCTGTAGGGTGGCTGAGCGGGGAATAGCTGAGGTTAGTTTGGGGTGAAGGGGTACCATATTGGCGCGATCGACGCTCGCCTGAACAGGAGCACGCAGCGACTGCGGAGACCGAAGCATCCATGGCTGTCATAAGATGGGGAGGAGAGTAATCGAGATATTCGCATAACACACATTTGGAACTTTTCATTGATGAAAGTGCGCCTGGATGCATATGGCGTGCGTTTCTACATTCATTTGATTAGAAGACAGCGATTAGTCACGACTCTAAAGCAGTTGCATGAGCCCGGCGAAGCCGGGCTTCCAAGGAGGAGAGCTCGGCGTTAGCCGGGCGATCCGACTGGTAATATATATCGCCGATGTCGCGTGCCGTGTGTGTCTGTGAGTGTGTCTCGGTAGTTTGAAATTCATTAGCGCGCGTCCCCAGAAACGGCGGACAGGATGAATTCAAGAAGGTGATGTAGGCGAGTTTCACGGCGAAGCACGTATTGGTGAATGACAGGAAGTCGACTATCATTTGGAGTAAAGATTCGATAAGGGGCGTTAGAAGGGGTACGGTTACCATATTCATAAAGCTGGTGACAACATCAGCTGGCTCTATTTCAAGATATAATATAGGGGCCAAGAACATTAGTGGTGGGTGACTAAGAACTCGCTAAGTCTGCTGATGAAGATTCGCGATAAAGGGGAATTAGAAAGGTAAGGTCATCGTATTCATAACGCAGATCACAGCATCAGATAGGCGTACGTCTCAGCAAACTATATAGAGGGTGAGATGGGGACATTAACCGTGGGTGACCGGAAGCGATCACTACTGATAGGGGCTGATAAGGGAAGTTGCAGTCGTCGTCGCTGTTCAAGGCGGTTCAGGGTGGTTCAGGGGCTACCGAATCATAAAGATTTAGTGATGAGGACATTGACGACGGGTGACAGGTAATCTTATCAATCGATAAAAACAGATAAGGTGCCATCTGCGCTAACATTCCTTCTGCTCCGCTTTAATGCCAAATATTAGAAGCTCAATACGTGAGTTCTTTCCTTCGATGTGCGGAAACAAGGTTGTCCATTGAAGTGTTTGCTATTGGATGCGTGAAATGATGTCGAGCGCGGGAGGGGGGAGGAAGAAGGATCATCAAAAAAAATTATTGCAGGCTTCAAGCCTGCATTGTGATATGTTAGGAGGTGGCGGTTTGCAAGTGAAGTCTAGATAACGAGGGAATCTCAACACTGCCAGTGACGTCCTGTGATTGGTAGCATTCATAGCATACAGTGCGACAAACACTTTGCTATGTAACATACACAATGTAAAGTTCTCATTTGCATTTTTGGCCATCCATAATCTCTAGGCCATTATGCCTCCTCCAAGAGTTAAGGGGTCCTAAGAAGTCATCGCACTAATGTCAAATTTAACCCATTTCTGAATGTCACAGCTGCCGGTCTTTAAATGAAGGCGAAAGGCCTTCCCATGGTTGAAGGTCTGTAGTAAGCAAGAGATACCAGATGTTGGTAGATAATGACTGATGTTGAGCCATTGCCACCATTTGGCACATTTAGCGTATTCTACCTCTCCCGAGGGAAGATAGTCTGGCGAAGGTAGGTTGGCCCGGCAAAGCCGAGCTGTGAAATAGAAGGAGGAGCACCCGGCGGCAGCCGGGTGATCCGACTGGTGTCAAGACATTTCACTATGATTTCGTTATTGTTACCATCAAGGTTCTTTCAACCGCTGAGCTGCCCTATTTTCAACGCATGTTGGGTGTTGTTAGAAATGTCATAGGCATCAGGCATTGGCAAATGCTCATTAAAAAGGTGATGTACGATGAAATGGGCCAAATCCTGAAACATGGAATTAAGCTAAGTTTATGTATGTCTAATGTTTTAATGTTCAGCACAATCCTGTCAGCAATTAGTGCCACAGCTGGACGCGGAGTAGTGCACGTCAGCCAACTGGTATTCGAAATACTCAACGTTTTTGAGGAAACGTCGATTACGTTGGACCCGTTATTATGGTGTGCT